TCTTTCCTCCCATGATTATAAGTCAAACACTAATATACCTTCCTCCAACGGGATTGGCAGCTGCAATGACAGAGCATCTGGCTTGAAGAGAAGTGACAATTCCAGCTTTTGATATGCTAATGCTTTGCTGCTCCATTGCTTCATGTATACTCACCCTAATCACGGATGAGAACTTTAATTCAAACACACCAAAAGTTTACAACTTTCTAGACTGGGCAGGAGAATAGATGGAATTGCAAAGCTGAATTGACGGTTGTTTTCCCTACCTGTCCTGATCATTCATTTTGTCAAACTCATCAATCAGACAAATTCCTCTATCGGCTAATACAAGGGCACCACCTTCAAGGGTCCACTCCCTTGTGACAGGATCCTTGTGCACTGCTGCTGTTAGTCCTACAGCTGAAGCTCCTTTCCCTGCGGTGTACACTGCTCTATGCCCAGTTTTCTCAACATACCTGGTAAAAATATATACAAATTAATGTTCAAGCAGCTATAGACCAGTATTTCATACATGAAGTTCATCCCGAACTGATAAATGTAGCTCTTACTTGAGAAATTGAGATTTGGCAGTGCCAGGATCACCTAGTAAAAGTACATTGATATCACCTCGTAACCGGTGTTTCCCTTCAACATTTTTTTCTTGACCTCCAAACATTGCAAGAGCAATTGCTGTTTTTATGTCCTCGTGACCATAGATTGATGGGGCAATGGATTTGATTATCTGTTATCAGTTCATACCAAATCAAAACCCTTAATCTTAACACTAAAGGAATGTACTCAATAAATTCTTGATATAACTAACCCTTTCTCCAATTCTAGGGTCTTTAGCCAACTTCTCAATCTCTTCTTTGTCTTCCTGGGTAAGCTTGTAAGCAGAGAAGAGATCTTGCTTCTTGGTAACATAATTTGCTTCAACAACCGTGGAGAACACAGGAAAACCATTCTTTGTATTCAACGATAAGTCAAAATTATTTGTATAAATGCCAGTGACTTCCTGAAATCAATCAGATCATAAATTAAAAAGTCTGCAAGTACTTCAAAAAGAAATTTTTTGACATATGCAAATAAAGGGCAAGGAACGTACAATTTCCTCCCCAGGACGGGCACAATCAATTAGATCATTCAAGAGTATCACTTCCTTATACCTTGGGAGTCGACCAGCTGGCACAATTCCTGGACTTTCTTGGAGGGTTAGCTTTTGGTAGTTCCTATATATAGTCTACAGCATAACAACCAACAACATATGGTATCTGATTAACATTCGCTGAGATCTTGTTTTACAGAAGAGAAATATTAAACAAAAATACATGACAAGAAACCATCCATCCATTTTGCACCGGGGGAGCAGCCGATTAAGATAAATGAAATATGTTCTTAAATGAGATTCATAGGCACGTAACCACAACTGTGGTTTCTCAAAAAACAAACAAAAAAAAAACGGAGATATAATTAAGAATTCACCTGCTCGACATTTACTGTAAATGGCCCCTTCGACTGGCATTCAGGACAAGAACCAACCTTGACCTCTGAGTAAGAATTCTGAAAAAATGGTCCCAATATTGTTCCACATTTATTACAATCATACTTCACCTGCTGCAACTGGGGGAACACACCAGAGCGCCGAGTCACTACGCCACCAATGCGAATCATGGTATTTAAATGAATTTGCCTACAAAATGCAACAGGTAACATTGAAAATAGGATGAATGAGAACTTAAGAAAGAAAAACATGTATTTGAAAAGACCCAGCACCATGAATCTTCCAGGATACCTAATATTTCGAATCTGATCATAAACTGGTAAATTATTGATGCGAACATATATCTTTTGGTGGATGTTTTTGTAGTTCGGATGTATGTCAAACACAACCTTCTTTGCAACATCTTCCATAACTTCTAAGACGGATTGGGGTGCATCAGCCAACCAGATTGCAATATTTGGATGAACAAAGATAAACTGCTTGTAATCAATCTCCAAACTGCACCTATTGGCTGCAAACCAAATATTAAAGCAACTAGTCTAAGAAAAATGAGAGAAGGACGAACATGACTCTAACAGGTTGTCTAAGAAAACAATATTTGTTTTCAAAAGAAACCAAATATCAACATCGCAGTAAATCACGGAAGTAGATGCTCACCTAAAACCATCTCATTTATCAGTCGCATGTACTCGAGCTCTCCATTTCCACTCTTAGGATTCACATATGTTTCCAAAAATTTCTTAAACTTTTTGCCTATAAAGCGCCGAACTGTATCCATAGTAACATGCTCTCTAAGTGGCCCTTGAACACGATACATCTCATTCTCATTTTCATCATCATCTTCATCCTACAATTGGAGGTAACGTGTTAATTTTGAAAATGGCAAGCAATAATTATGTGCAAAATGCTACTACTTGGAAAACAAAGATGTGACAGCCTTATACACCTCATATTGGTCATCAACAGAATGATCAGTCATGGGCACATCATCTCGTGAGTTTTCCCTTTGTGATCTACCTGTAGAACTTTGCATGCCATCAATGTCATCGTAGCTTCTTGCTGCAGCTGGAGGACGAAAATCAGCTCTTGATCTTTTCGAAGGCCTGTAATTGTCATCCTCAGAGTCTGTATCAAAACGTCAAAAACAGTTAAAATCTGCCAGTCCGCAAAAAGTAATCAAAGGGGGAAAACTAATAACTTGGCTGCTGCCAAGAATAGTTGAGAATTCCTACATATATCAAGCTTTTGGACGGAAAATTGAAGCTGAAGAATCAATTTGGTGCATATCATTTCGTGAAGGCAATTCTAAACTAATAATTGGAATACCTAATTTAAGAACACATTAAAGGAACAAAGAAAGAGCATGAGAAAAGAATGGAAACACGCGTATCTCAGTAATGCATTCACTGCTTAATGCGCGAGTGAACAAGCTGAAATCGAGGAACAAAGTTAGAATTCGGGACTCAGGAAGAACAGAGCTGGCAAGATTACCATGGTCGTGTAATAGCTCAGGAAGCTTCCGACGGGTGAACTGAGCATCACGAGTCTCGAGTTCCATCTCAGCAGCTCGTCTGTCCTCCATAATCTGATCCAAATCCCTATCGTCCTCTAAAGAATCGTCGAGGCCCAAGGACTCGTACTGGTCATGGTCGTCCATCCTCCGATAATCGCTACAAGGTTAAGAGCAAAATTCATTAGATCGGTACTCCATGTGGCAATAGATTTCGACGAAATTAAAAGGCAATGTGGGGGGGCTATTTGGAGAACTAACTCCAGGAAATTATCGTGGTAGAGATCCTCTCCTTCCTCTTCTTCATCGGGATCAGGCTCGTCGTGAACGATGTGAGGATCAACGGCGGCTTCGTCCTCGTCGGGGTAGTTGTCGGAAATGTGGCTGAGATGAGGGAGCTGGTCTGTTTCGAAACCAGCGGAGGTGGTGGGGGAATCGAGCTCCAACGGCGGATTGCCGGAGTTTCCATCGGGAGTTTCTCCTGCCATTTCTAAGGGAGAGGGGGTCGGAGAAGGGGAGAAGCTGAAAGCTCGGAACTTCAGTGACCTAAACGCACTCGATTCATGGAGGAGGTTGTGTTTGGCGGGAAATGAGGTGGCTCACTCCTACTCCACGTCGGCACGTTCTCATCTTTATTGAACTCATTGCTTCTCACAATCTAACCTTTTTTTTTTTTTTTTTTTTTTTTTTTTTTTTTTTTTTTTTTTTTTTTTTTTTTTTTTTTTTTTTT